CTGCCTTGCTGAAGGCGTGGCTGGGCACCTCTTCCGTCGAGGTCTGGAGTAGCGGGGTCTGATGCAGAGGAGCGGGCCTATTAAGGGAGGTGCTTAAGGGCGGGGGTCGGGGAATCGGGGCCGGCTTGGGCTGTGCAGTCGGGAGGGCCACGTGAAAGCGCTTGCACTATGCAGGCGGAGGCAATCCTCCCGTAGGCGGGCAGGGGGCTCCATGGGCGGGCCCCGAGCGCGGCGGCAACTCCTCCGGCAGGCTATGCGTTCCGCGGTCGGAGCAGCTGGGATATGTGATGGGGTGCTTGCACAGGCATGCGTGCGCGAGCTTTGGGCGGCCTTAGCGGCAAAGATAACTGAGTTGAGCTGACAGATTCACCGGGGTGGCTAGCTGGCGTGAAGGAGAGGCGGTAGGCTGATCAAGTCCCAGGAGCCAGAGTGCGGGGACGACTCCGGGGGGCCTGGGCAAGATTCCGGCATGGCAGATCTGGGGCTGTGGGATGCGCGGTCCTCTATGAGGGATAAAGCGTCATCTTCCAGGTAGGCGGCCCCTAGTTCCGCATCCGACTCGATGCTGAGCCGGTGGTGCGGCGAAAGCAGGCTGGGTTCCGAGCTGGGCCCGAGTCTGGCTCGCTTGCTGTCCGGAGTTGGGCTCCAGGAGGCACGGGGCTTGAACAGGGCATGTGACATGTTGGGGCGCAGGAAGTCAACAGGCTCTCAAGAACGGCTGCGGCAAGCAACGAGACGGATCATCCAGGCCGCATGTCGGGGCTGCATGTGTGCATACATGGATGCAAGACAAAAAACAAGCATGCAAGCTAGGCACCCCTTTTCCTTTATCTCGTTCGCGTCGAGGATGTCGAAGATGAGCTGCACCTGGTCAGGGGGAAGGGAGGAGGCAGCAGGGGGAGCATGTCTGTATCCCTGGCGGCAGAGGCTTTTTTGGCACATGTGCGATCTGGGCAGTGTGGGCAAGAAACTTGTGTCCTGAGCAAGAAAGGCCCTGAAGTTGGGCAGTGATCTTCCTAGGCGTGCCAAAACACGTGTGGGCGGGGCAGGCCAGTGAGCGCCCTTAGGGCCTGGCGAAATGCCCCCAGGGGGATTCCCTGCGCCGGTCGAATTCGTGGCAGCGGCTGCATTGGTGGCGATCGTGCCTATCGGCGTCAGGATCATCCACGTTTTGGGCACACACGAGGCCCCATGGGCAAAAGGGCTGAGTGCTGCAGGGCCTGGCACATCGTAGGCGTCTGTTGTGGTCCGTGTAGAGGAGTCGTGTGTCCTCCTGGGCAATCCGGAAAGTGTCCGGTAGGCAGATGCTGGGCACAATGGTGCAACCGCGATACCTCCTGTCGGGCGGCTCGGGGATGCGGGCAGGGAGGCAGTCTGTCGGCAGGGTCCCGAAGGGCGGGCCTGCGAGGCTCGTGTGCGTCCCCTTTTTCGGAGAGTAGGCCGAGCAGGTCTGTATCTGCGTCAGTCCTGCCATCGTCGGCTGCTCGGTTGCCGGGCCGTCGGCGGGCTCCGGCAGGCTGGGCGGGTTGTCAAAAGGATATGGGCCCGAGAAGACGGAAAAGGACTCCGTGTCCAGCATGAACTTTGATCCGATGATCCCCTGGGCGGCTTGGGACTTGATGAGCTCGTAGTCCAGGCTGTGGATCATGATGGAGTTGTTGTCGTCTCTGACGACGCACTCCCGTCCATCTTCAAAGCACGACATAGGCAAAGGCCCGTGCTGGTGCCTGGGCTGAGTAGGCGGGCTGCAGGCATCGGAGGCGTCTGCTGCTAGAGGCGGAGGCGATGAGTCCTCTCTGGGCGAGGGGGCCTCGTATGTGAACCAGAAGGTCGACCAGTCCACCTCCTTGGCACCTCTAGGCGGCTGACCTAGGCCGTAGAAGTGATACCACGTGCGGTCATCATATCGCTTCATGGGCAGGTGGTAGGCATCGGGCGGTGTGGGCTCTGTGGGCTTGGCTTTGACCGGCACACCTTTGGGCTGTGCGGGAGGCTGTGGCTCTGGCGGGGCAAGGCTCAGTAGGCACTGCATCCTCGGACTCCTCCAGATCCGGGTCAGGCAGTGTGCTAGGCCCTGCAAAGAAGGCAGCGACCGCGTCGGTGGCTTCCTCGGCAAGATCAGCCCAAGCCTTCCTTTCCAAGGCTGTGGCGTCGGCAGGAATCTTGCCACCAGGCGCCCTCGGCAGTGGAGGCAGGTCGGGGCCCGTGGCAGGCGTTTCAGGCTTGGAGTGCGCGATGCAGCTCAGTAGGCACGAGAACTTGGTCTCGGTTGAAGTGCAGTGTAGGCAGTGCGCGGCCCTCGGCAAAGGCTTTGCGGACGTGGTTAGCCGTCCATAGGCAGGACGTGGCTTGATCAACGAAGCTCCAGTCACGGCGCTGGGCGTCTGGGTTGCTCCCTTGTGCAGGGGCAGGCGGGCACTGCGAAGCCGAGGCAAGCAGCGCTTCCCGTCGTGCCTGGGCGGCGGCTTTGCAGTCTGCAAGCTCTTGGGCTTGTTGGGGCGTCAGCAAGGCAGGGGCCGACTGGGCAGGCTGCACGGCGGGACCGGAGTCCGCGGTGCTGGAGGCTTGGGCAGGCTCCGCGGGGCAGGAGGCCGAGGTAGTGGGCGGCTCGGCAGGCTTGGGCTGACCAGTGGGCACGGTCTGCCCGGCAAGCCCTCCAATGAGGCTTTGCTTGGCACTGTCGTCCAACTGCGCCCAGAGGGCAGCAAACTGGGCGAGAGCGTTGTCCGGCGTTTGGGCCATTGGGCGGAAAACGCAGGAGAAGGCAAAGAAGGCGGGGGGCTAGCAGAGGGCTTGAGAAAGAGCGCTGAGCACATGGATGCAGCGCGGGTCACGTAACCACATGAGGCATGCAGAAGAGACCCTTGACAGCAAAAAAGCGTGTGCAGTGCGCAACCGTGAGGCGGGCCTTGACCGGGCGTCGCTGGGCTCGGGCTACAGGGCGTACCTGAAGTCAACAGGGTCACAGGGCACTGTCTCTTCAAAGGGCAGAGGAGCGTGTGCGGGCACGTACACGTGGGCCATCCGGTAGGCCGATGAAAGAAAATTCTTGTGGCCTGACCGAAACAGAAAGTGCATGGTTATGTTCACCACAGAACTGGACCCAAGAGACTGTAGGTGCCGGGCGGAAACGATGAGGTCCTGGTAGAAGTGCTCGACCAAATACCTGGCAGGGAGGGGGGTCAAGGAGGGTCTTAGAACAGAACCCTGTAGTCACATGTGCTAGGGCACCACTTGGGCTCGGGGCGGCATGGGCCAGGCGGCCGGCGTGTCAGGCTAGAGATCCGAGGCGGATGTGCTGGAGCCGTCTTCGGGCTCGAAAGAGGCGTGGCTGGGCGGCATGGGCAGCCCCGAGAGGTACCACCTGCAGTCGGAGGCGGTCCACCAGTCGATGGCGTGCATGGAGTGCCTGGAGGCTGGCGATAGGCAGGCCCATATGCTGGACAAAATGTGGCTCAAGGAGACCAGGCAGCGCCAACGGACCTGCAGAGGCAGGAGTGCGGCAATAGGCAGGCCGTGCAGAGCAAGGACATGGGCATGTGTGCGCTGCAAGGGCGTCATGTGTAGAGAACACTGCCGGCGGCATTGTGTGTTCTGGTACCGAGCACAAAAGGAGCGCATGGGCGGCGTGAAAACCATGTTGACCCCGTGGCGCGGCCCGGCAGGCAAGGGAGGCAGAATCTGGGCTGCATTGCTCAGCAGGTGCTGAGGTGGCGGGGCCTTAGGCTGAGGCTGGGGCACAATAGGCGGCGCGGCGGCGGGGGCCAGGCTGACCCGCGAGAGGGCATGGCTATGTGAGAAAGCTTCATGGGCGGACGAGGCAGCTGGATCTGGGGCTGTGTCGCTGCTGTCCTCCGTGCAGCTCCAAGGCTCGGAGTTCCATGGGCACTCGTCATAATCAGAGCCGGCCATGGGCAGGCTGCTGGGCAGGGTGTAGGCGGTCGAGCGGGTGAACTTGAAGCCAAAAGGAGCTGTCGGAGCATGACCTGGGCGGGCATGTTGGTTAGGGCTTAAGGCTTAGGGGGGCAGGTTCCGTTCGAGGCGGTTAATCCTCTCTTCTAGGCAAAGGATTTCACGGCGTATCCTGGCAAGGGGGTTGGCTTCAGACCATTGATCTGCCGGCACTTGGAAAGTTCTCAGGGTGGCGAGATGTGCATTGTAGGGCAAGGCTGCCATACGTCTGGCGATGTTGAGCTGTGCAGGCAAGGGCTCCACCGTGGCGCTGAGGCGGAGAAATTCGGCCTGGGCCCGAATCTTGTAGGCCAGGAAATCCGAGGCCAGCAAGTCGAGGTCCTCATTCAGGCGGGCATAGGCTACATGGGCTTGGGTTAGGGCATTAAGGGCAGACGCGAGGCTGTGTTTAAAGTGCTCGGCTTGGCCGCCGAGTAGGCGGGAGTGGATCTCTTGGGCTCGGAGCTGGTTGTGCTGGTAGGTCAGGAGGTCCTGCATGAGAGCGACATCCTGCAAGATTGAGGACAGCTGAGCGTCCGGGAAGGTCCGGCTATCTGGGCCAGGGGCTCTTGTGCCGTAAAGGAGCTCTGAAGGCGGCGCGTGAGCCGTAAGCAGGGCTGTCACAGAAGCTGCAGTAGGCAGGGCTGTCACAGAAGCTGCAGGGCACTGCGAGGATGTAGGCCTTGATGAAGTCGGGCATCCAGTGGGCGCAGGTGCTTCAGGAGGGCGTCTCGTGGGCGCAGTCGGCATGGAGCTCGGGCATCCCGTGTGAGCTTGCGCGGTCGAGAGGCCCTCAGGCTGCCACAAAGCGATGCGTCTTTGATGCAAGTTGAGCAGCTGTTGCCAGCTGCCACAGTAATCCTCGTCCGAGGCGTCTTGGGCTGTCCACATAGGCATGGGACTGTTCGAGGCCATGGGCGCGGGCGACTCTCGGGGCATGCCAGAGAGGAAACACCGGGCTTACTGGGCCTGGAACCTCTAGAAAGACAACTAGGGGCGTAGCGGCCTCGAAAAAGATGCTCACACGCTATGCATGGCCCCAACTCGGGTTAGGTCAGGGCCAGCTGAGCCTCATGATTCGTGCGTGTCAAAACACCTGGGAAACAAAAACCCAGTGCGAGGCGCTGGGAACGACGCCCCAAAACCCTGCTGCAACGAGGTGGCCCCTGCGTTCTCGCTCTTACTAACAAGGGCCAGAGCACCCACGCCGCAGCAGCTCTGGGTACTCGGCTACCTCTACCAACCAAAACCCACCCCATTGACGGGCAGTGGAGTGGTTGACTGCCCTGGCGTTCACACTACAGGCAGCAGAGTGGCCACAACGGTCCCCTGTCTGCCACACGAGGCTTCCCATGCACGAGTCTGTCATGCAGTAATTGCAACGCTGCAAGCCCTGAGGCGTCGAGGGGGACCGGCAGGCGAGAGGTGTGGTCTACTCTCCCCCAAATCTGTGCATCCGCATACTGCAGCTTCCCTATGAAGGACGGCAACTCGCAGGGGACGAGGGCCTTGGCTTCGAGCGCGGTTTTTAATGCTTCGGCGAGCTCCTCACATCGGCTCTGCTTATTGCGGATCTTCACTAAGCCGCACGCGGAGTCACTAACATCTAGCGTGACACCCAAAACATCTACCTGCTGCGAAAAATCCGTGCACTTTTCTGGGGCGAAAGAAAACCCGACCATTTTCAAGAAGGCTTTAATGGTCGCGGCTGTCGAAGTCGACACAGTGGCATGTGAAACCATCGGGAAGTCGTCACAGTAAGCGGCCCAGGACACCCCAAAACTACATCCTATGGCGTGCAGTAAGAAGCTGACCCTTAGGAAGTGATGAACGCTTGCAAGAGCCCCGAAAGGCAAGGTCCTCATCAGAAAGCATGTGACGCTACCCGAACTCGGGTCTTTGAGCGTCACGACGCTCTTGTCATAATCGAGTGGATGCAGAGCGAGTTGCTTATAGGCCGATTTTAGGTCAAGGGTAGCCACCTCAAGCGGAACAGTGGCCTTGACCATAGCCCACTCCTTATGAACATGACCCACAAGCCTCTCGCCAGAAGACAGGGTGAAGTCAACAGCTCCTCGATCGCGGTAGAAATGAGCCAACACGGTTAACGACCAGATGATGTGGTCGAGCGCCTGAAGCACGATCTTCTCGGAGGTGCTGCACGCGATATTGACGAGGGATTCTTTGAAGTCGTCTATCGGGCGCAGCTTCCCCCGCTGTACCACTGCAAACCGTCTGACCGGTAACCAGCGCTGGAACATCTGATCCACTTCTTGGGGAGTGTAGGGGCCTTCTAGCCAGTGTTTCTGCTTGGCTTCTTCCATAGTCACATCAAAGAGCTGCTGCGCATTTTCGTCTACCTTGGCTTGGGCGATTTTGCTCAAGAGATCCGCCTTGCGGACGGCGGACTGTTGCATCAGCTCATCCTCGCTCAAGGCACCAAGCGCTCCACCGACTCGAAACACTCCTGAAGGCTTCAGGCAACCCACTAACCTAAACCCCGAGCGGATCTCAGCAAACAGCTCAGTGTCGGGCCACTGTATGTCCTTGGCCATTTCTTCAAGAAGGCATAGCCGCTTGCCCGCTAGCACTTGCCTCACTTGAGGGTGCATGGCCTCACGCAATTTGGCTTCGAATGGCTCTAGTTCTTTTGCTCTGTCACGCCATCGTTGCATCTTGAGGAGCCGCGCTTTGCACAAGTCGGTCGGCGAGCTGACGAGTTGTTCGAACAAGCTCCTGGTCAAGTAGTCAGGGAGCTGGGCGAGCGAATCGAACGGGTGGAAGAGCCTGCTTGCTTCTTCGACGAACTCGACGAAGTCCCTGAAAACCCCGAACACACAAAATACACCTTTATCCCCCCTATTCTCGGCACGCAAAAGCTTGCTCCCTGCGGGGACCTTGGGCAAAGATCGGGTCAGGCAACGCTTGCCGTTCAGTGAAGGGAGATGCGGTAACGTGCATGACACAACAGAAGCATACTCCGACACGACCTGTGGCCGCAGGCGTCCCCGAGGCTGGCGGTGAGCCCGAGCCAGAACGGGCTGGGCAGCGCCTAAGGGCTGCTGGCGTTGATGCGCCACGTGCTCAAAGACATCACACAGCGCATGGCACAGGGGAGTGGGATGTGCGGCCTCTTGTGCGGTGGACCACTCATTAGTGGCGGTCAAACCCCAGGGCTCATGCGAGGCGCAGCCTGGGCAAGCACGATTCATACGACCTATGGCCTCGGAACTGCACAGGAAGGATGTCTGCTTGTTGTGGGAACTGCCGAAGGCGCAGGCTTCAAGCGCTTGCAATGTTTCGCGTCGAACGCCCAGCAACTCTCGGAGACATTCAACCGGAAGCCGGCATGAGTAGTGCCCTCAAGGACCTCGGAGTCCTGCCCGTCTGGGTGCTCCACGAACACCTCGCCACCTTGGAAATGGCTTAAGGGGGCGATGATATTTGGGACACTGCTGTTAAAGGAGTCCTGATGCAAGGGTGAGCGTAGATTGCGAAACACCGCCACCGTGGAGAATTGCATGCCAGGCGCGACCTGCTGGAGGCAAGCTGCAAGATATCGAGCCACATGGGGCATGTCCGTGGTGCTTTTCCTAACGGCTGTGATTCCCCCCCGGTTCCGTGCACCCACAGTCCATCCAAAAGTGTCAAAATGTGCTCCGCAGCAAAAACTGAACTTTCAAGAAAATGCTTGGCCTTCGAATTGCAAGAGCCGGGTCGCCCAGCTTGGCCACCTTCAGCGGTGGTTCAGGTGGAAAACAGGAAGAATTGTCTGGGCGGTCATTGTCGCCTGCAGGCTCCGGATCAAGAATCGCCTCATCGGCGGCACCTACCGCCTTGGGCGGGGGTGCGTCGGCATGCATAGCGGACCCTGCCTCGGAGGGAGAGTCCTCGTGACGGCCTAGTCACGAAGCCTTGTTTGGGCAGTCCTTTGCGGCATGCCCTCGGTGACAGTTTTTCACCGCACAAAGGTGAAGTCCTCGTTCACACCTTTGATGCTTCGCTGTACGGGTGCACTTCCCAAGCGAATAGTCAAAGCATAAGGCGTGTCCCTTCGGTGTGGCACTCACACAACCCATGGCCAGCAGCTCGGCCGGGACGCGGCCATTGGCGGAGCCCTTGGCTCCCCCCTTGCCCTTGCCCTTGCCCGGACCTTTCCGAGGCCTCTTCAAAGGGGGCCCCTTTTCCTCGTCTGCATTCCCAGAGCCTCCCGCGTGCACTGCGAGGGGGCGGGGATGGAGCATGGCAAGGAACTCGGCCGAAGACAAAACGGTCTTGAAGGCTTCGTCGCATGGGCGCTTCCCAGCCTTGACCTTTATCCCATCTCTGGTGTGTTCTGCCAGCAGGAGGAAGAACTGCTTGTCTGCCTGCTCGATCTGTTTCAAGCAAACGCGAGCATAAGATGGGGGCGGCTCCATCATACGGTAGTGCATATACTTTTCCAGAAGCTCATCATGCAGCTTGAACGCTAAGATGTTCGCTTGCTCAAGCGCCAGCCCACGGCGGACCAACGCGTAGCGAACGAACATGTCTGAGGAAACATCACAAGTCTGGACCGCGACCTTGGTCTGCATCTTCAGGGCTCCGGAGCTGTCGAGCGCCAGAGATTGGTCTTTCTTAAGACCCGACATAAGTTCGTGTTGTCGGCTCACGGCATGTTGCCATTCTATGTATTGAAGCCGGTCGGCTTCATAGATGCCGACAGCCCTGTCGACCAGGCTGTCTCCTGGTTCATGGTGGCCCTTGAGAACCAAGCCGGCCAGACGGCCCTGTTGTTCCCTGAGTCTCTCGGCTCGGTCCGCTGGAGCTAGTTTTTTGACGGCGGACTCGTCCGTCATTTCTACCTGTGCTCGGATGTCTGACGCCACGGTGGCGTACGCTTCCGCGAACAGGCGGCGGAAGCAGCTCATCTCCTTCAAGGAGGGCGGGGCCCCGAGGACCTTAGTCACAAGCTCCACCAAGGGTTTTTCGTCACTGGCCGATGGGTTGAAGTGACAACAGAAGGCGAACGAGGCCATAGTCGTGAGCCCCTCGCCCTCGAGCTTTGCAAAGCTTGCATCGCTAAGGCCAATGTCCTTTGCTCTGGCTTTGAACACTGCCGCACTCTCCCCAAAGCTCATGGCTGCCGAACCTTGCACTAACGGATGCCAAAACTCGAGTGTTGCATATTTGCGGCATACTACCTCAACTCAAGGCATACAGCACGTGCACCCAAAGCTCATGGCTGCCGAACCTTGCACTAACGGATGCCAAAACTCGAGTGTTGCATATTTGCGGCATACTACCTCAACTCAAGGCATACAGCACGTGCACCCAAAGCTCATGGCTGCCGAACCTTGCACTAACGGATGCCAAAACTCGAGTGTTGCATATTTGCGGCATACTACCTCAACTCAAGGCATACAGCACGTGCACGACTGAAGATGACACCCCCCTTGCAGCGTGACATCTCACGTAGCGCGTAGACTAGGTGCATCGACACTGGCAAGTCTTCTAGAGGCAGGCATACAGCACATTGGGCACTTCTGTTTCGTGTCCTCCGCCGCGGTTCCAAACCGACCTAGAACGCCTTTTAGGCGGTTGGGAAGCATGTCGCACAGGCGGGATACAAAAATCTAGGCGCCGTCCGCAGGATCTCGAATCGGGTGCTGAGTGTCCTGCCACACTTCAGGTGAGTACCCGCCTCGTCACGGACATGATGCACGAATCGAGTTTGCTTGTGCCTTGCCCACGGCCCCTCCCCAGGCTCGGGCCCCCATCGTCCAGCCACTTCTTCCAACGCCTCCTCATCATCGGAGAACTGGTGGTCTTCTTCGTCTTGGGAGTCCTCGCTCGAACTCGAAGAGATAGGCTCCGACTCTTGTTCTTGGGGCGCCGGTTGAGGAGGGGCACCTGCAGAAGAGGCCGTCGCCAGAGACGCAATGAGCCCACTTTTAGTGAGATCAGGCTGAAAGGCCTTTGATGCGACTTCATCGATGACCTTGTCAAGCTCTCTCAAGGGTGCCGCAAACGCCTCTCGAGCGTAGATGGTCAGGGATTTGTCACGCCTCGGCACATGGTATCCCAAAGTCCTGCGAGGGCCAGCAGCGACTCCACGTTTCGCAAGCCAGCTCAAGGTCGTGCACTTGCACGAGTGAGTTGCTATCTTCACTGCATTGGCCGGGGCGGAGGCTTGCGGTCAGAGGGATCTGAGCCATTGACCTCCCGATGTGACCTTCAGTGGCACCTTCGTCCATCCTCCTCCGTGAGCTGGCGTAGGCAGCATCGGGTATGTGTCATCCAAGCCCTCCTGCTGCCGGAGCTCCAGCCAGGGCCTGACCCACTGCGAAGGACCGATGCACTTGAGGGGCACAGCGATCGGGAGGGCTCGAACCTTTCTCTCTAGCGAGATCGAAGTCTTCGTTCTCTCCGCCACGCCTTCAAGGTACCCAACCTCCACACCATCGACGATGGTAGAGTCAATCATGAGCCCCGAGGTTCGCTGCATATCGCTAAACCTGAGCCGACCGAAGACCATCAACAGGAAGCATCCGGCAGCCAGGCGGTCGGCTGCTTTGGCGCTCACCCTTAGAACTATGACCTCCAGGCACAAGACTTGATCTACCGACAAGGCAGGCCGTCTTTTGACAGGGCATCGATTAGAGTAATGCGAATTGGAAAGACCCAGGATCCTCCCACTCCTTAATGCATCGCCCAAAATTACTAGTCCCAGGAGGTGGTGTGCAAAACTCAAGGAAAGGAGGAGCGATCTGAAGGCCGTCGGGGCCGCGTCGGGATTGGCTTTGAAGTAATCATACAGCTGCGCCTCTGAAATCGGCATGCACACAAGCCCGTGCTTCTTCCAGAAGAACACATAAGTGATGATCGGACCGGCACGCTGATGCAAGGTCGCAGTCGCTCTGTCACTCAAGCAATCCTTGACACTTTCGACGAGTCCCCCTGTGGCAAACTGAGGATCGTAAGGACCCAACGCAACCTTTGCAACCCCCCACGCATTAAAGTCCATTGAAACAAGGGAAACCCACTTCTTAAGAGCTGTCTTCCTTGCCTGGTCAAGAGCCTGCGCCCTCAGGAAGGCATCGCGAGCATCAAGGGGCTTAAGACCGGCTGCCTGGAAGGCTGAAGGTGCAAGCTCGGCATCACGTGGAGAAGTTGAGGCGGGGTTCTCGGCAATGCATGGGGGCAGGGGACCTGTCGGTTGCGCTACGAATCGACTCTTTTCTTGACAAGAGAGTACATGGAATCAGGCATTCCAGGCATGATGCTTTGGGCTCTTTTAAGCATAGACCACTCGTGTCGCGCGTGAATCTCCAGGGCTCTGAGGTTGGGGGGATCATCCGCTGCCAGAGGAGGTGTGGGGACCCCTGAACTACTGAAGGCACCCGAACCTAAACCCCCTATCCCAGCTCCGCTGCTTGAAGCCATGTCAACCTGCACGACGTGGCACGTCGGACTCGGGAGATGAAGCTGCACTGCTGTCGGGCCAAACAGGAGGAAGCTCGAAATGAAGCCAACGAGCGTCGTTGTGCACCCACCAGTCGGAGGCCTGGACCGACTGACGGTCTGCGGGCGTGAGGAAAGACCAGAGGGCCTGAGCAGCGTGTGGCTGCGTCCACAAATCAGCGACGTAGGTGGGACCACGGGCACTCGGAATTTTCAGAGCCACAGAAGAAAAGCCCCGAAAGCAGACACACCCACACACAAGCCCGCGCAAAAGGAGCAAGTCAAGGCAGAGCAGCGAATGCGGGCTGCAGGGGCTGACACGGCACACAGAACAACCGGGGAATGCACAGCGCTGCGCCCACGAGCGCGCGCTCCCATCCGCCTGCCCCGCGGGCAAGCTTGCACGAGGCCCTATCGGCCGAACTCCTTGAAGAAGAAGGCCTGTTCACAACGGGACCTGTTCAGGGCCTCCAACCCGGTTGACAAAATCTTTATGTGATTCTTTGCACCAAGAATCCTTGAGCACGAGCCGGTCACAAAGTATGTACATGATCAGCAGGACTTGTCAACGCAGGATTATCAAATTTCCCCAAAATTCTTGAAAGTCCCAATAAGCAATCACTCATGCCCTACTTCATTCCACTTGACAATCAGGGCTCAAATGGTGCACGTTGCTTCTTGGAAGGGTTCAAGAACGCTTTAAATTTTTAAAGCTGTTTTGGGGATGTAAACACACGAACAAAACTTTTGGATCCGCTTTCTCATTGAAAGCTGTGCGTCAAATTTTATAAACTCACGTCGCGCAAGCTCGACTGAATTCGAATTGATGCACAAAATCCAAGTAAATATGGTAAAGCTATAGCCAGAGGTGACGGCGCACTTGTGGCCCACACATTGGCAACTTCGACAACCACCCTAAACCCTCCCAAAGATGCCAAAGGGACCCCCGCTAAGGAGCCTCAACCACACAGGAGGGTCCCCACGCTTATGCCAGCGCCACGCACGCATGCAATCCTAAACCCAAGAGGCTAAGCGGACGGTAACCAGGCGGCGAAGACCTTGCCCCCAACTGCTCTCCTGCCAGTGGGCAGCATGTTCCTAGGAATGCAGCGGCATGCATGACTGCAAGCAGTGCAAAATGGCAAAAGGACAACCAAAGCAAAGCTTTGGGGAAATGCAGTTAGTTTAGGGGCACCAAGCGGAGGTGCTTTCTCAAGCTTTCCTGGAGGTGAACCCCCACCGAGAAACTGCCACCCGCTCAGGTGAGCAGCGGTTCCTGATCGTGGAGACAGAAGGGAGGCGAACACCCTAAGCTCAGCCATGGCACAAGTTGGACAAGCTGGGATTCGACCACGGGCCTGTTCCCCCACGCAGACTTGGGCCTCGAGGCTCGTTGACAACTACCAACTCACTACCAAAGGCACCCCACCGGGGTTGAGCCGAAAGCTTGAGCCAAACAGGTGAGTTTTTCACACGAAAGCGGACTGCGTCGCTAGCCAGGTTAGGCTCTTCGGAACCGAAGTTCCGGAAGGTATTAACTATGCACAGAAAAGGAAAACTCTCGAGGTGTCCTTGGCCTGCTTAACACGGCCGAACTATGTGCAGGGAACACCGAGAGAAAGCATTGAGGGCTTAACCAGTTCCGCGAGAAGGTCGGTGGCCTACGGCTACTCACTGGTTTGGCACTATACAAAGCCCTAGGCAAATGTTCTGCAGGTTGATCTGCCTGGTCTGTACTGCCTACCCTATAAGCCCTGCCTGTACAGGGGAGAAACTCACCCACATTCGGCTCACTCAGAAAAGGCAGAAGGTCCGGAACCGACACATGGGCAATGCCTGTACAAACTGCAGACAAGTGGATTGGCAAAAGTCGCCAACCTCCGGAGCAGGCCTAGGCTTTCTCGCACTTACTAACCTAGGCCCCAGAAACTCATGCCGCAGCAGCACTGAGCTCCTGTTTGCCCCGTATGCTGACCTGGTTTTCTCGCACTTACTCACCAGGGAGGAAGAACCAACTTTCTCGCTCTTACTCACCGGTTCAACCTCAGCGGCTCCAGAGGAACCCACACCACTTGCACGCAGGGAGGGCTTGGTTGATTTGGGCATCTCAGTTGGGCAGGCTTTCGGGCAGCGAGCCACAGCCTTTAACCTCCGCAATCTGGTGCCTCAGGCTGTCCGTCAGCCTAGGTTTTGGTCCCTAACAAACAACGCCTGCCGCTAGGCTTCCTCCTGGCTGGGCTTGCACCACCAGGAGAAACAACACACCCTGCAGGGACAGACAAAGGAAATACTTAAAGGCCAAACACACGGGTAACCCCAAACTGATGCAGGGCATCATGCCCTCGACCTCAACCGGCCGGTGTACTTGGATCCTCGTCCGTTCCTCAACACCTCAGCGCGCAACCCACCCCTCATCAACCAGTGCGGATCTACAGGGACCGGTTCTGACGTTTTCCGTGCGCGCGCTGCGTTTGCGAGAACCCCGTGTTGGGCCTGTAAGTACCCGCAAGCACCTGAGCCCGAAAACCCGGTCCAGCGGTCTGCTTGACAGACCGCTCTTTCTGGGTACGGGGGTTTTCTGGTTTGGTGTATCTCAATTCCCAAACATATATAAATCCAAAAAGGGAGAAAACTCATCTCAATCTACCACTCAACGGAATATCTCATCTTAAACATCTCCTTAAAAACTCCCGATGGGAATAACTCATGCATATTCCACCCAGTTGGATCCATCCTTTTTCTCATACAGCATCAGGGGTAGCGCGAGGGCCACGTGCAGTCTCAAGAAGTCTCCCGGCCGCCACTACGGCCTTCAAGTGAGCCCCACCACCCCAATCTCAGGGAGGGAGGGAGGGCAAGAAAATTTTCCTTCCCCTGGCTCAAAGAAAGGTTTGAGACTGCACGGGTCCAAAGTCATGCACAAGCCTCTCATGCTCACAAAAATTCCATGTACATGCTGAGGAAAATTTTCCCACAAAACAAGAGCATCTCATGCATACATAAGCAAAGTACAATGGAGTATTCTAAACTGCCTGAAGGCGTCTGAGATGAAACACTTGCAACATCCCAGCCGTCCATTAAAAGGGGGGCAACCTACCACAAGGCTCCCTGCAGCGACATCATGAGCACCAGAAAACCCGCCCGGCCCCTCCCGGGCTTCCCGCACCCAAGGGAAAGAGAGTCTTGTCGGCAAGCCGAAAACGCCCCTCTTTCTGGGTACGGGGGTTTTCTGGTTTGGTGTATCTCAATTCCCAAACATATATAAATCCAAAAAGGGAGAAAACTCATCTCAATCTACCACTCAACGGAATATCTCATCTTAAACATCTCCTTAAAAACTCCCGATGGGAATAACTCATGCATATTCCACCCAGTTGGATCCATCCTTTTTCTCATACAGCATCAGGGGTAGCGCGAGGGCCACGTGCAGTCTCAAGAAGTCTCCCGGCCGCCACTACGGCCTTCAAGTGAGCCCCACCACCCCTGATAGCGTTCAGGCTCGCTTGAGCTCAAGGATCCTCTTCGCCAGCTCCTCCAAGCGGGTGAAGGGTTGGACTTCAGATGCTCCCACCATCGTCACGACCTCGATGCCGTGACCTCGCGATGGCGCATCACCTGGGTTCGAAAAGGAAGGCACTCGTGATACCCACCACATGGATGGGTGCTCCTGGTCCAACTGGGAGAAGATTCGGGCAAGAGAATGCATGGCCCAGCTTCTGCTGGCCCCCTTTATCACGAGGCTGCGGGTGGCGTTGTTGTCCACCCACCACACTACTCTACGGGACTCCAGGATGGAACTCAATTCCATCATGGATGCAAGAATCGCGAACATTTCGATTTCGCAAATCAACTGATCCCCGCCGATCTCGGACTTCCACAGCTCAAGCACCCTTGACGGGACACGGCCCTCTAAGACCCAACCTGTCCCGGAGAAGCAGTCGTGAGCGGCAAGCCCAACTCCCGCCACCCCTGACTCCCATGAGCCATCCGTCCAAAGGTGGAGGACATCGGTTGTCATGAAGCACCTCAAAATGCGCGGGGTCTCGTCCTGCAAAAGGCGGATGGTAGGCTGAAGTGTAAGCCACCCACTATACGTGAAAGCACATGCGAGGCGTGTTTCAAAGCCCTGCCAGCGTAGAAGCCAGAAGCGTATTGCAACAAACCCTGCAGGACCTGGGCAAGCTGCCTGCTAATCTCACCCCTAGAACCAACCTCCTGAAGCTGGGCTACAATGCGCTCGATGCGACCCTGCTTGTTGGCAAGGCTCACCTCTCCTTGGGCTACCCTGTCCAGGCCCAAGGTCATCCCCAAGACGTCAAAGCTTGGAGCAAAGGCACGACCCTTCACACCCGTCTTGGCGTGACGCCACCCCAGGCAATCCAAAAAGTCGCTCACAACCGAGTCCGCACCCTCGGCCGTGGCCGCTGGACATAACAGGGGGTAGTCGTCGAAGTACACCCCGGAAGGAATCCAGAGCAGTCGATTGATCAAGAACCACAAGCAACGGCTCACCCGGTTAAAGGCATATACTGCTGCGGTACTGCCAAAAAGCAAGCTGTTTGACAAGTACAGGGCGTCGCGCCCATCCTCTTGCCGCACGGCTATGACTGCCAGAGGCCGGTGGGCTGGCAGAACTGCAAGCTGTTTATACGCTTTGCTCAAGTCAAGGCACTTTCCGCGCCACTCCTTGATCTCGCGGGCAACGAACAGGGCCATGGCGGCCAGGTAGTCACCGTCTTGCAAACGCAAGTGGATGCTCGATGTGTACCCCGAGTTAAGCTGGGCCTCGAGGCAGTTGTCGATTGGGCGTGCTTTGCCCTCAGCACCCTGGAAAATGACGAAGCGGCGTATCACCGTCCAGTCCTCTGTCTCAAGTCGGGATGAAACTTCATCCCTGCTGTAAAACGGCCCCTCAAGGAAGCCGAGCGACACCGGATGGCCTTGCCCTCCATGACCTTAGCCACCGAGCGTGGCATTGATTTGTGAAGCGCTATCTCCTCAGCTCGGAATTTGTTCACCTCTCGTCTCACTCTAGCCAGAGCAAGCCGTCGCTTCAACTCCACCAGCTTCGGGTCCTTGGTGAGGTTCTCCCTCAAGGCCGCGAGCGTCACAGCCTCCAAAGGATTGGCTGAATCCATTGGATGCGGCACCTTCTTCGCCTCACAGAAGGACTCCTAAGAACCCCTACTTGAACCCAATCCTCACAACCATCCTGCAAAGGCGAACCACTAGGAGTTCCAGGCTCAAGCGACGCAAAGGCTGAGGTTTCCGGGATGCTCCCTCCCTGAACAGCGCCTGACAAAATCGGGGCTCCAGGGATGGTCCCTCCCTGAAGGGTGCTAGTGGAACCGGGAGCTTCAGGGATGGTCCCTCCCCCTTTCTGAGGGGTGCCAGGGGAGAGCGGGGCTCCAGGGATGGTCCCTCCCTGAAGGATGCCTAGGTCCTGCTGCGCCAGAACACCCCCTATCGACGGGCGCAGAAGCTTCAGGTGAGGCAAGGGGGCAAAAGACCGCCGAGGCATCCACGTGACCTGGGAGAACTCCGACACAAGAGAGCATGTCTGCGGTGCTGTCTGCCGGCGAACTGCAAAGCTTGACTCCGTGCGGCGGGTTGGGGGACCAACGAAAAACCCGCCGCCAGCGCTGGGCCACGCAGAGAGAATACCTCTGTGCAAGGATACAAGGATATGCAGCCTCATCCTTGGTTGCAAAACGCACACTCCCGCATTCGACGATCCTGCCCCACGCCTTGTGAAGGTGATTTCCCGGGCAGGATGCACGGAGCGATTCAAAGCACTCGGGGGAGCACAGCAGCTTGGTTCCCTTGGGCCTGGAGCCCCCATGGCAGCATTGATCAAAGCACACCTCAGAAAGACGGGGCAGGAGGCGATGACTGGGTTCAGACGGCTCGAACGCCGCAAGAATCTCCCACAAGAAACTATTGCGCGGGTTCTCAATGCAAACTATGATGCTGTTGTCAAGACAATATCTCAGCACTCTATAGCCGAAAGCATAGAGCCGATTGGCAGTGTCAACCCGACAAGAGTCCACCGAGCCAGGTTGTAAGCTGGGCAGCCCCAGCGGGAAATCGCGGCTGCGCAGAGGAGACGGCCCTATCTCTCCATTTGGCAAAGGTCTGCCTCGCGCCTTGCTGCTTGTCCCACATGGCAAGCCAAGATGCACGAGGAACGGAGGATGTTTCTTCATCAGATCCCAGAAAAGGTTCTGCCCGACTTCAGAGGACAGGTCAAGCTGAGCTACAGGCACACAAGAATCACAGTGGTGATGGTCAAAGCTGTGCACGTGAAAGCCCGTCTGGCGCAAGGCACGGGACAACGAACCCTTGCCAGCAAACAACTCAAAGGCGCAGGGAGGCCTAGCCAGTGTCTGTGATGTCTCAAGCGGGAAGGGAACCTCCGGTGGCAGCAGGAATCCTAAGCCCCGCGCCCTAGCCAGCTCTGCTTCACCAAAGTCCCCGAGCTGCTGAATGACCCATGTCACCAAAACAAGCCTATTGCCAGTCCAAGGCTCAGTCTGATGGTAGTTTGACCATGCATCAAAAACTAAAGGCTCGGAAGTAAGCTCATGCACGCTGCCACTCAACTCAAGCTGACCGGAAACCCGCGCGTCGTCACCTGGTCCCTCAATCCACAATCCGCCGCCCTGGAAGTCTGTGACGCGGAACAAGGCATTAGGCCAAGGTGCGTTGCGCCCATCCTTATGAAGAGGGGTCGCACTGTTTGAAAAGAAGCCACAAGTGGAGAACACATGACCGGGAAGACGCTCCTTGACGAAGCGGGTCATAATTCGGCTTGCAAACGGAAAAGTGTGACACTCCTTGCGCAACCCACGAAAACCTCCCTGGGCATAGCAACCAGTCACGAAAGCACTACGCACCTCACGCGAACCTCCTCGAACCTCATCTTTCGGAAGCAAACCGAAGAGCGACTGAAGGTCGGACTCCGAGATCTGTGCAGCATTCTTCAAACGCGTTTGTGCCCAAACCTCAGGATCCGCTAAGGACAGATCCCCAGTTTCCAGCGCGCCACAATTCACCCCTCCAGAGTCCGGCGCATCCTCTGGGGGGACCCGTCAAGAACCCCCCTTAGGGCAATTAGCAAAAGGGTGATTTCCAAAGCATCCCTTACGCCAACACTTGTGGAAACCCTTGAGGCACCTGCCGTTCTTGCACTTGTTCTTGCATCCATGCGTGTTGTACGCAAAGCACAGCGGACGGTTGGCCTCGTCCTTTGTTGCACACCCCTCGGGAAGATCAAGTGTCTTGCCAGCGCCTTTCCCCTTCTTCTCCTTGCCAGCGCCCTTTCCTCCCTTGTCCCCTGGCTTGCCCCCATGCAGGAACTGGTGCGGCGGAGGATTCGGCAAGGGGGCCAAGTATTGCATGATCTCGGGACTACGTGAAAGGCGGGTGATCTCGGCATCAAGAACTGGATCTGTGCCCGCAGGTGCTGTCAACCTGCCCATCAAGTTATTACTTGCAAGGATGAACAGCTGCTTGTCTGCCTCAATGATCTGCGACAACTGAACGCCTGCAAATCCCTTTGGCTGAGCTCGCTGCAAAACTGAGAACAAGAACTGAACATGCTCCTCCAGCACACGGAAAGAAGCGAGATTAGCCATGTCGAAGGCCAGTGACCTCCTGCACCAAGCTTGCCGGAGGCGCATCTCTGAAGCCACGTCGCACGCGAGCTCATGTGGCTTCATAGTCACCTTCAAGCTATGATCAGCTGCAAGATTGACGCTACTGTCGCGCTTGAGGCACTGGGCTTCCTGAGCTCGGCTGATCCACTTGCTAGGAGGATGGTACTGCAGCACGCCTGATTCCAGCATCTCCACACAAAGGTCCACGCATGAGTTCGCCGGCCGGGTCTCAGGGGTGAAGACCAAGCCGCCCAGGGTCCTCTCCTGGCGAGCCTGCCTGTCCATGTGCTCGGCAGCTGCTAACTTCTTTGGATGGCCTTCCACCCCGGGCTCGTTCCGTGACTTAACCTCCTCAATGGCCATGCTGACGCCATCGAAGAGAAGGCGGCGCAGGCTCGCCTTCTGGTAGCCGGTAGGCCGGTAGGACTGATGCCAAGACCGTTGATCCACGCGTCCACAGCCTCATCAGTCAAAGTTGTAGGCGTCGCCGACACAGCGAAAGCCAAGCGCCCGAACGTGGTGTAACCATTGTCCACCAGGCCCTGAATTGTCTCCTCGGTGAGGCCAATCCTCTTAGCTCTATCCAAGAAAGCTGCCGCTGAATCCAAGTTCGCTGAAGCCATGATTCACACCGTGCGGCGTAGGCGCTCAAAGGCTGATCGAATGATCCCTTCGAACTACCATATAATCTGAAAAGAACCTTCCAAAATTGAGATTTCGGCATGAAGTCACGGATGAACTGACAGCACGCGTGCACGTGTATCCTTAGAAAGCTCTTCCTCGCTGGAGCCTCTCATCTGCCATTGATATGAAAGTCCACTGGATGCTCAACTGCCATGTCTTGCAGCAAAGCGCCCCTCTCTCGAGTGCCATCTCCCAGGCACTCAGGGTCGCGATCCTCACGCACATCCGCACCCAGAAGAACACCTCGCTCACAAGGCCGCTCCCAGGCCCCAGAGGTTGTAAACTCCTCTTTTGACTTTCTCAGCAGTGATGTCTCTCTCTACTCGCCCATGGCGCGTGAACACTGCAAGCAGACATCGGGATCCTCAGCTCCCACGCCCTCATATGAAGAGTATCTCTCGGTGCAAAGCCTACCGCACAAGAAGACGCCATCCTCCCTCAAGCAGTGCGCTATGCCCGAAATCATATGGATCCTGCACTTGGCCACGTCGACGTTCATAAAAGGAGCCCTCACCAGCTTCGGACCTGGGACGTCAAAGGGTTCAGGTTCCTCTGGCTCCGAGGCGGAACCATCAGAATCAGCCTCCAGCTCCACCGGTGGCTCCAAACCCGAAACTTGCCGTCGTCCTCCTTCAGCACTGGCCGACTGCACTCCCTTCTCCAAAGCATCCGCCACCTGCATGACACGTGATGCTGGATCCAGATCTGGGTCGAAAGCCCCGCTTCGAATGGTTCGGTAGAGCGCGAGAACCTTTCCAGCTAAACTCGTGTACGCTTCGCGACTGTACGTCACCATGCTCTTCACCTTCGGGAGGACGTGGTGGCCCAGAAGCAAGCGTTCATCATCGGTCAGCTTTATAATAGTCGATCGCCCTGCCCACGTCAACAAAGTGGTCTTCAAGGAATGCGTGCCGATGCGCTGATTCTCTACCCCAGTATCTGCCAGCCAGTCCTGAATCCAAGCTGTCGCTTCCGCGGAGCCCATCTCGGTCGAACCCCAGGTGTCCAGCCTCAATGACCATGTCGGCAGAGCAAAACCGTCAGCGCCCTCACCAAATGTGAGGCCGCAATGTGCCCTCGCATCTAGCCAAAGTTTTCCCCATCCACACTCTGTCAAGCCTTGTGCAAGAGCTGCATACGGAGTGAATCGGGTTTTGGCCTCCTTGCTGTGCGACGTTTTACTCCCCAGTGCATCGGCGAAAATCAACTGGCTCTCTCCGTCTCCCAGAAGATACACCGCCTTCAAGCGCTGTGAGTCCTTCCATCGGCACACCGCATGCAGGCAGAAAAAAACCTGACCCAAAACGCAGCGCTCCACCTCTCCAGCTCTCACCATGATGTGCTCCAGAGTCATGGCCTGTTTGCACTTCAGTGAATCCCTCTGAACCAGAGGCTGCTTCCCCAAGAAGGAATGAGCCAGACCCTTGCACCGCGCAGAAATGACAACCTTGAGGTCCATGCACCGGAAATGTACCACGGCATGCATGAAATGCAAAGCCTCCAAAACATGTGAAGGAGCTGAAGCACCGCAGCCACTGTCCCGCATGGCCGACAGCGCCAAATACAAATCGGATTCTTCCATCCTCCATGGAGATCCAACGCCTTGCTTAAAGAGCTGGACCACCAGACGGTGCAACGACCCTGCTCTCTTGGTGAGGGTACCCGCTGCCTTCTGTGCGAAGGCATCACAAAAACTGGCTGCCACCAGATCTTCGTCTTCTAGCTCACCAGTCTTCAGCATCAAGTGTCTCCCCAGGTTCGTAGCCATAGGGTCCAGGAGTACCATGACCTTGAGCTTCTTTAGGGCATGGTTCCTCTCATCTTCATCACTACGCACGATGCGGATTCTCTGCAGCCTCCGCTGCACAGTCCAAGGAATCTCTGGAAAATCATCACTGCCAAGCTCGATATCAGGATTCGGAGGGTTAACTGTCTCTCGAACCCCCACGCTGGGGGTCATGGCAAGCCAGCTGATCAAAGATGCCGTGAACGGGTCGCCTCCAAACACAGGGTGGTCCTGCCAAGCCTGTTTGGGACCCTCGGCCCTCAGTTTCTTGAAAGACATCTCTGCAGCCAGTTTAACAAAGGCCTCGTCACTGAGCCGAGCCCGCATCTTCGAAGAGCTGGCCGGTTCTGCTACTTCAGCAGAGCACACGGAAGGCGCTCCCAGATGCTCAAAGGATAAGGGCTTCTCCTGGAAAGCCCGCTCAAAACTGTCTCGAAAAGGGGGACTCTCCTCCACACCCACCTCATGAACTGGTGAAGAAGGTCTGTCCTCCCGAACTGCCTTGTACCAATCAGCTTCATCTGCCAAAGATGGCTCATAGTCAAACAACTCCTCTTCACGGGCAAACTCACCAAAAGGCTTCGGATCCCAAACACCCCCTGAAATTGAAGGCTCCGAAGGCTGAACCACGTCCCAAGAAGGAGCGGAACCTGCAGGGGAGGATGAAGATTGTGTCTCTTCCATCACGAAGACAGAGCAAGGAGCTCGCTCGCGAAGGCGATTCTGGGCCCCGCGATCACAAACAGAAAAGCAATACCAATCCCGCTCTTGAAGAAAGATCAGTACCCTTGAGCCCTCTGCCAAACTGACCAGCACACCCTGCAGTGTGGGAGTCAAGACGTACGTGTAGATGGACGGCGGGCTCTGTAAGCGCCTAAGCAGCAGACCCAGATGGAAAGCACGAGGTCGGAGCACGACCAGCGCCAGGGCAGGCAACTGAGGAACAGCTTCCCAGTCCCAGCTTAGGCTGGATGCACTGGAATCGTCAGAAAACCAAGCGCGCGCGTCCATCAACCAAGAAAATTTTCCTTCCCCTGGCTCAAAGAAAGGTTTGAGACTGCACGGGTCCAAAGTCATGCACAAGCCTCTCATGCTCACAAAAATTCCATGTACATGCTGAGGAAAATTTTCCCACAAAACAAGAGCATCTCATGCATACATAAGCAAAGTACAATGGAGTATTCTAAACTGCCTGAAGGCGTCTGAGATGAAACACTTGCAACATCCCAGCCGTCCATTAAAAGGGGGGCAACCTACCACAAGGCTCCCCGCAGCGACATCATGAGCACCAGAAAACCCGCCCGGCCCCTCCCGGGCTTCCCGCACCCAAGGGAAAGAGAGTCTTGTCGGCAAGCCGAAAACGCCCAGCAAGGGGGCCGAACCGGTGTCAGGCTGAACACAGGCCGCATCTTGGCGGCCAGTCCTGCCGGGTGTCCAACGGAACAACTGCGAACCTATTCCGTTGGATGGAAAAGGGGGGTGCCGGGACTGGGCACTGAACTGCTTTCGCTCTAACCTGCATCCTTACGCAATCATTGCAAGCAGTTTCGCCTTGATTTGTACATCTTTGCTTGAAAAGGGAGAGTCTCCTCTATGACATTGGAATTCCGGAGGGGAGAGTCTCACCCTTGATTCTGGCAGGGCGTAAGCTCCTGCAATTTGGGTGGGTTGGGGCCGTATTAGGTCAGACATCCCGGGGGGTGTCTCCCAATTCTTCAAAGCCACACACATGCCAATCGCTGCTGCACGCTTCTTCTGGAAAGTCAAGATCCTGATAACACCCTTCCTCGAGGAAAGTCCAGCCACGTGCGATGGCTGCAGAAGGCCATGGCGTCAGCGAAGGTTCTTCAGGCTCTGTTCCTTGGTGACCTAGTTGACACAAGTCAGCCAGGGAGGCGTCGTCCAGAAACACCGGTCTGCTGACTGCTTGGTCAAAGCTCGGCCAGCTCCACGTGCACGCCAGGAAGTTTTCAAGACAAAGGGCACAGTGGAGCTCGATGCGTCTTCCATCCTCTCCATGCAAGATCGCTGGTTGCCTTTTCCCAGGACCTGGCACGAAATTGAGGTTATGGGTTGGAATGTTACCACAGCCAGTGCAATTGAAGTTCAAAAGGCGAAGCCACTGCACGGGCGGGTCGCCTCCCATTCCCCCGTGGAGCTCTGCTGGGTCTTCCATGCATCTCCATTGTGCCCACAAGGTCCGGCTCTGACTGTTTTGCCGGATTTGCTGGTGCGAACAAAATACACGCTGCTGTCCTCGGAGAGGAGCAGCCACTCTTTCCGGCCCTTGTGAAGCCAGCGAAAGCAGAGTGCCTGGTGGAAAGTCCTGCCTTGGCTGAAACCACAATTGGCTCTATGGGCCCAAGTTCGCTCTACACTTGCCAGGCTGCTTGAGCATCTTACCTGGTCTTCCAAGGCTGGAGAAACTCCACAGCCGGCTGTAAGAGGACTCGCATAAGGGAAGAGTTCCCCAAGCCGGGCTGCTTCGCCCTCCAGTCGGGCCGTGCCTTCTTTCTGGCTCTCTGCATCGCAAGTTGGGTGAGATGACTCCAACCCGTCACTTGCTGGCAATGAGGATCTCGACTGCACAGGTGCTCTGGACATGGCTCAAATGAAGGCTGTGATAAACAGGCCTGGTACCCAAAACAGTTAGGGGACTCGAGGCTGGTTCACACAGCTACCGCTCTGCTACCTGTGCACCCCACCGGGGTTGAGCCGAGATCTTGAGCCAGGTGAATTTTTCACACGAAAGCGGACTGCGTCGCTAGCCAGGTTAGGCTCTTCGGAACCGAAGTTCCGGAAGGTATTAACTATGCACAGAAAAGGAAAACTCTCGAGGTGTCCTTGGCCTGCTTAACACGGCCGAACTATGTGCAGGGAACACCGAGCATTGAGGGCTTAACCAGTTCCGCGAGAAGCTCGGCGGCCTACGGCTACTCACTGGTTTGGCACTATACAAAGCCCTAGGCAAATGTTCTGCAGGTTGAACTGCCTGGTCTGTACTGCCTACCCTATAAGCCCTGCCTGTACAGGGGAGAAACTCACCCACATTCGGCTCACTCAGAAAAGGCAGAAGGTCCGGAACCGACACATGGGCAATGCCTGTCCGGAGCAGGCCTAAGCTTTCTCGCACTTACTAACCTAGGCCCCAGAAACTCATGCTGCAGCAGCACTGAGCTCCTGTTTGCCCCGCAAGTCAGCCAGGGAGGCGTCGTCCAGAAACACCGGTCTCCTGACTGCTTGGTCAAAGCTCGGCCAGCTCCACGTGCACGCCAGGAAGTTTTCAAGACAAAGGGCACAGTGGAGCTCGATGCGTCTTCCATCCTCTCCATGCAAGATCGCTGGTTGCCTTTTCCCAGGACCTGGCACGAAATTGAGGTCATGGGTTGGAATGCTAACTTGTCTGTCGGGCTCTCTGGTTTAGCCACCCATTACCAACATGCCCCAGGCAGGGTTTCCATGTGTTAGAGGCACCGTTCCGTGAATCCAGGGCTTGCAAGGCAACCGCGTGATCCTGGGAAGATCTGTGGCTTGTATTTCCGCTGAACGCACAAAACCGACCTGTGGTAATTGTGCGCCCAGCGGCGCAGATGTGTCACAGACATTGCATCCGAAAGGTTCCCTTTCCCCATCCCCTGCCCACGGTGCGCAACGGCATTTTGTGACGGGAGCTGGTGAACGGAGCTGCAGCAGCTAGCAAGAGGAGCGGGGGATGTGCACTCTATTTCAGCACGCAAGTAAAGATGTCAAAGCATCATGAAAATGGAAACTCAAAAAGCATCCCCACACTTCAAGTTTCCACATGTGGATCGCACGCCTGGTTTGACACTGGGGTTGCCTGCCTGCACGCCGCCAATCACGGTTTAAGGTTGAGGGTTTAAGGAAAGTTTAAGGTTGAGGGTTTTGGGATTGGGGTCAGGTCATGCAAAGGTGGCCTTGAGTGATAGCGGGGAGTCAGAGTCAATACCAAGGCAGGCACACTCACTCAAGTGGAACGTGCGATTCCTGAAATGATTGTCGCACTGCCACATCATCGGGGGCATGGCAAGCAAACACACACGCAACACGCCACTTCTCTTCCACACAGATTGTGTCCTGGACCCCCGCCACCCCCCACTCCCGCCCACTCCCACCCCCGCCTCCCCCGCCTCCCCTGCCTCCCCCGCCTCTCCCCCTCCCCGTAGAGCTGCATCTGGCTGCGGCTGAACACGCGGGCAAAGAGTCGAAGATGAGCGATGTGTATCGCTTCTTTGACATACATTCACAAATGAGGACTTTCATATCGTTTTGGTCATTTGAGAATATTGATTTTCTGTCGTCGCTACTTCAGGACTGTTCTCAAGTAGTTGAGGCTGTGACGCGTCATCTAGTGTTGCCAGCACTGTCCACTGCCTCTGCTCTCTACTCTCTGAGCTTTGGGCAGCCTTTGGCAGAGGCCACAAGAGAAAGACATGAACTGTGAAAAAAATGTCATGACCTCCCGTGTATTTTCCTGGAGCCTTGCAAGCCGGCATCAATCTGTGCACTGAGCGACTTATGAAGTTTGTGCAAAGCGCTCAAGCTGGCGATGAGATTCGCCCAAAAGTCAAAAAGACATCAAAAGTGTCGAGACTGCAGGGAACACAGCGGCATTGTGATCCCTCAGCCACGGTCCGGATTCCCGAAAAGAATCCAGCACCCCTAGGCCCCAAGTCTTGCAAACTGCTGCTGCAAGCTCCGGCCCGCCCCACTCACAACAAAGCTAGCTCAGGAAGTCTGGGCCAGCTCGGTGTCTTTGGAGAATTGCTTGGCCACCTCTTCCATCTTGGTTATGTCACGCCCGGATCTTTTCAACAAACTCAAAGCTGTCTTGTAGTTCTCAGCCGCATGCGGAGTGTCGATCATGTAGCTCTTGCGAATGCCGTACGTTAACAAGCAACCTGTGCTTTGCTCGGCCAAGAACCATCCTTGCGGAATGTAGCACACATCGTCCTGTGCCAGGGTCACTGTGTAACCCAGCTTGGCATCACCATGCTGGGCGATGTAGGTGTCATCCATGTTGAGGACGAAATCGACCACATCTTTGAGATTCGGCTCCTTGTTGTCCATTTGCTCAACAAGCTTGGTCAGGTTGAACGCCACCAAGTTCACCCCGCCCATGGCAACCACTCGGATCATCGCAGCCGCATTGGGAGCGAGGAAGCCTCCAGACATTTTGCTGTCAAAGCCCCAGTACCACATGTTGGCCTGAAAGTTGGCCCCGTCTTGGAGCTTGGACACGTCCAACAACTTTGCAGTCGGTGCAAAGCCTGTCATCAAGGCGACTGCTTGCTCCTTCCCTTGTTTCTGCAGGACAGGCGCCATGGCCCTGCCATCGGTCTTTACCGATGGAGCCTTTTGGTAGCCACCACCAAACTCCATGAGCTTCACGCTGCTCTCTGCATGATTCCTCCATGTCTTGACGGCTTCACTGGCACGCATCACCCATGGCTCATCCGCATGCGCAGCCGGGTCGAAGCCCTGACCGGAGTGCACAACAAACGGCTTCCAGCAGCTATCCTTGATGCCAAAGATTGGGTGACTCAGCTTGCTGAACATCCTGGCCTTAGCAGCTGCATTTTTGGCAGCCTCCCTCATCTTCACCGCTTCGTCTGCCTCTTGCTGCCTCTTCTTCCTGGCATCCGCTCGTTCCTGCGACGTTTTCTTTTGCTTGAGATAGCTCTGCACGTCACTGCTGATCTTGAGCAATGCTTTCATGAACAGGTCCACGGTCGCAAGCTCGGTTTTGATCAGGGTGGTCTGCATGTCACTGACCTCCTTCGCATCTGTCAGGTTCTTCAAACCATGAGCCCTGCATGTGAAGTAGACAGAAGGCATCAAGCTAGCATCACTCTTCACGAGCTTGACATCAGGGCCCACACTTTCAAGCGCTTTCTTCAGATCATCAAGGGCCTTCTCCCGATCAGCATCACTCGGGGAGGGCATGTCAACCTCCCAACATCTCAAGGCTGCCTCACAGGCCTCGAGGCAAGACTGATACGAAAGCGCAACAGCATCCTGCTCAGAAGAGTTTGGAGCAAGGTACTCCCGGACACTCTTGCGAGCTTCCTCAAGCTTCTTCTTGGCATTCTCGGCTGCTTTGCTGCAAAGACCAAGCTTGTCCAAGACCTTGTTGCAGGCAGTCGTCTTGAACGCCGTGAATGCTGGGCCTGACGATGCAAGCTTCTCGAACTTCATGCGGGCTTTCTTTTCTGCTGACGTCTCGACCTTCTCACCGCTCTCTTCCAAGGCTCGCTTGCCCTTCGCAGGCGGTGTTGTAGCCTCAGCAGCTGCGTCAGCCGCATCCTCGTTGAAGAAACCATCGATGTCACGACCACGCATGTTGCCCTTGCACTGCTGAAGCAGCACACGGCGGTCCTCGGCATTGAGCTGTTTCTCTTGAACCCCACCTTCTTCAAGATAAACGGACTTGCTTCGATCCTTGTCTGAATGCTTTTCTTCAATCATCGCTCGGCCTTCTCAAGGCCAAGCGTGTCACGATCGATGCGGCTATCCTTGAGGTATCGTTCCCACTCATTGTGTGTGGCCTGTTTGGTCCAGCCCATGGTCTGCTGACCCCGGATCATCCACTGGCCGTACTCAAAAGGCCTTGTTCCATCTCTTTTCCGCTTCACCTGCGACACACAGTACTTGCGCTTGAACTGACTCCAAACAATCAGTTTCTTTCGTCGCCATTTCCCTTCGCTCGGGTTCTCCTCGTCAAACTCTTCCATGGCCTCCGTTGCGGTCTCGGGGTTGCTCATTGCTGTCTCAAGGCTTTCGATTTCATTTTCTTTCTTTGCCTGATAAAACATGTTGTCAAAGGTCTGGTTGTGCTTCTTGCACCATCGCTTGCTCTTCACGCACTCGTCGTCGCAAGTCAAGATGAAACATGTCTTCACAACTGCTGGCCCTTTGGATTTGGCCTTCGCCTTCGCTTTGCCCTTGGGAGCTGCTGAGGCTGAGGAAGGCTCACCTTCCATCTTGGCCACCTTGGCCCCCTTAGCCATCTGCGTCACGATGTCGGGACAATCATTCGCGAAGGCGTCAATTTCAAGGTCAAAATCCATGACTGCCACACAATGCGGGGCACTCACGCCGGCTCCACGATTTTGGCTGACTCACAAGATTGCATATGAGACAGACTTCAGTGAACAGATAGGTTCGCTGAGCTAGAAAAGATGGTGGCATCTTCTTCTCTGCTCCTACTGCGAATTTAGAAACTTTGCCTGGATGGAAAGATATGAATTCCCGATTCCCGACAGCAAACGCCTAGTGCCGCTGCAAAGGTGCCTGCTGTTTCCTGCTTAAGACGACACATGTGCGCAGCATGTGCAAAAGGTGGCCTTGAGCGGAGCGGAGTAGAAAGATCCACAAGTCATAGCGGCCATAGCGAGCAGTCAGAGTCAATACCAAGGCAAGCAAACTCACTCATTTGGAAGATTCCTGCAATACTTGTCGCACTGCCACATGGCATGCAAAGACACACGCAGCACGCCACGGCCCTGCCACATGTCTGTGTCCTGGACCAACGCCCACCCGCAAGCCCCCACTCCCTACTCCCCCTCCCCTCTCTCCCCCCCTCACCCCCGTCTCCTCCACCCCCCCCTCCTCCATCACCACAACGTCCAACCGCCCCTCCTCCAACCCCCCCCCCATGCCCCCGCACAGCTGCATCTGACAGCGCAGCTAAGCAAGCAGGCATAGGCATGCAAGATTTTGCTGACACATCCATCTGCCGGCTGACGCATCTGCGGCATGCAAGTCACGCAAGATCTGGGCCAGTGGGTTTCTTCACTTCCGTCACCTGATGTCTAATTTCGACTTCTACCTTCTGCTACTTCCCCTGCCCCTGGCCTGGTTCTTGCTGTTGTCACGGTGATGAAAAGACACGTCACACTTGTCACGCTGTGCTTCAGCTATGGACTGTACACTGTGAGGCAAAAGTTTTGAGTCAAAAGCACAGACAAGGATACACTCACGCAGGGCTGCAATGCCAAGGTCGCAAGTCGCAAACTACCCACGATGAATCACAGCTATTGCTTCTGTTTCGGACCGAAGTTCGGACACTGCTACTCATCCTGCACCGAGGCATCTTGGGAATCTGCAGCCAGAGACAGGTCTGGCGTTGAACTTCCCTGGCCGATAGAGAAGCTAGAGCCGCCCTTCCTGAGCAAGGTTCTTTCAGGCTGTCTGCTCACCGAGCGATCAAGCTTCACAGTGTGCGCCATGATATAGAACATCCATGAAGCAATCACTGGCAAATGCCAGCCGTTGCCAAGGAGCTTCTTCTGCTGGCAGGAAGAAAAATCGGACAAAGCATCCGTAATCAAGCAAGCACGTTTCCATTTGCTTCTGTCTGGAAAGACATTGAACCCGTGCGCCAGAAACTGTTCCATTGGCAGCACCGGCCTGTTTGCTGACCAAGCGTGCAAAGTTCCATGAGTCAGAGCCGAGGGCAGCATCTCTGAAGGAGTGCTTGCACCTTGGCCCAGATTCTGCTCCAGGTCTGCAAACCATGCACTAGGGCCACCGTCGACAGCACTGAGAGCACCAACTGCAGCATGGTCAACCTCAACCGTCTCGGCCAGATGACGCTGACGATCCTGCTCGTAGGACTGAAGTCGCACCATCTGGCCTGGTGCGTAGATGTGATGCAACTGCACATTCTCCAAAGGAACGTTCTCTGGCAACTCAAAGCCTCGCTTCCGTGCCATTTCACACAAGCACGCACGCACTTCTGCATCATTAGCAGCCAAGCAAATGTCACCGGTTGTTGCGACGCTCCTTTCAAAGAACTGCATGAAATGAGCAGAGATCTCAGACGCAGGAGGTCCAAACCACGCCATAGTTTCACGATTCAAGGCACAAGTAAACACACGCGTGCGCCTGACCGGCCATCCAAGCATCATCGGAGACAGCACAATGCTGAAGACGTCGTGCGTGTTCTCCAAGGCAGAGAGCTTCTCCTCCCAAAAACAAAAATGACTGGGTCCTGAAAGGCCTCTGGGCCTCTGGGCTTTGGTAACTGTTGGTGGTTCTTCGTGCCGTTGGAACAAAGGCAGGGCAGCACAGTCTCACTTCATACGATTCAGACTCGGTCTTCAACATTGACTAAACAACAACACGCGACCAGCACTCTAAACCCTAAACCCTAAACCCTAAACCCTAAACCCTAAGCCCTAAGCCCTAAACCCTAACCCCTAAACCCCTAAACCCTAAACCCTAAACCCTCAACCCTAAACCCTAAACCCTGAACTTGCCCCGGCCTGAACTGGGTAGCGGGGAGTACATTCACTGATCATGAAATCTTCCAGCCCTTGTTCAGCGCGAGCCACACGCTCACTCGCCCATATCGCATGTGGTCGTTCAGTCTCTTCTTCTGCAATGCTCCTGGACACGGGGCAATCCAACTCCGACTCTGACGCAAACAACTTGCGCCTCACATGCCTTGTTGAAAGGCTGGACTCCGACTGGCTCGACAACGGTGACGGTGACAGCATGGTCTGATCGGTCTCTGAGGTCTCTGCATCTTTCACCACGGCAGCGTCTGTCATGAACCAAGCATTGGCACGAATTCTCCTGCGCAAAAGCCCAGGCACGGTTCTCCAGCAGCCACTCTGACATGTTCCGGTACAGGTCCGCTGCTTCCTTGCTTGATATCTTCTGCTTCGGGGTCATATTGTCCAAGACTGCCCGGGCTGTCTCAGGCAGGCGGTCGTTCAAGTCGTCAAAAACACAAATGCTGTTGTTGTGCAAGCTGCTGATGAAGCGCAGAACCTGCTGCTGCTGCTTTGCCTTGTCACAAAAGCGTCCATGTACTATCTTGACATCTTTCAAGGCTTCTACGCCAGAACCTGACGCAACCAGATTCAACGCTTCCACCATTTGGTGCATCACTTCATGCTCCCCAGCAATTCCGGAGTAATCAGAATCGATCCAGAGCCCTCGCCCCAGCAAGGCCTTCAAACGACTAAACCGCTCTCCATCATTGCCATCCTTTGCAGAAACGAGGCTTTGAACGACTGTAAGTGGCCAGCTGCACAGCTCATCCAGCGATTGCGGGCCAGGCCGCAAGACCCGGCTTGCTTCTGCCATGATGCACCGCTGGCCTACAACAAAATTGTTTCTGCTGCTTGTCACTGCTTGTGCTAGGCACACTTGTTTGTGCCCTTCTGATTTCTGAGGATTGGGGACGTGACAGACGTAGAGTTTGGGACAGCTACACTGCTTCACCTACATCTCAGAACTCAGAACACTCAGGGAACTGGCCAGCACAGTCCGGGCATTACATTGCATGACTGCGGCAGACTGCCGACAATGGTATCCCAGAATCCTAGAAATCTAGAAAAGACACGTTGTCAGGCAGTCAGGCAATAGTAGTTCTTGCGCCTGTGAGTTTAATTGCATCTTTATTCTTCTGATTCTTCTCTCATAGCTGCCATAGCTTTCGATATCCTATATCAATGACAATCATTGAAAGTTGAGAGTTGAGAGCACGGCCTGGAGCCTGGAGCCTGGAACTACCTGGAAACCACGCATGAACATGAAACTTTGTCACAATGCCACTCAACCACCAACGATTGTTACTGACCTTAGGCATTCTGGCACTTTTGACAACGAGCCCGTAGACGCCGCGCAAATCAACGAAATTTCAATTGCTCCGCCGGTTTGCCAGCCGGGGAGGCCCGGGGAGGCTCAGAGCCTAAACGGGCCTTGACCTACGGTTTCAAGGCTCGTGGGCCCAAAGCAATTTCGAGCAATTCCGAGCGTTCCGAGCAACCAAGGAAAATTCCGAGCAACCCCCAAAAATTCCGAGCAACCAGCCCCAATTCCGAGCAAGTCAAAGAGGTGGCTAAGAAGGGCGAAATTCGAGCATTCCGAGCGACCAGCAAAAATTCCGAGCGACCCAGCAAAAATTCCGAGCAGGCAGCCCACGAATTTCGAGCATTCCGAGCGCCCATCCCCAGCCGGGCCCCAGGCCCCCAGCAGGACCCCAGGGACCCCCAAAGGCCGTCCCAAAGCCCCACCGGAAACCCAACCGCACCAACCGCACCAGAACTCTGCCGCAAAGAAGGTTTCGGGGATTTTTGGGGATTTCGCGAGTTTGCGTGGATTTTCTGACAAACTGACGCTCTGCGGTGCTTTTGTGAAACTTCTGAGGTGTGCGGTCTGCGTTCTACAGCAGCAAGCTTATAAGTCTGAAACACCTGAAACAGAATATCGTCTGCTCAAGCAAACTGAACAAACGGCACGACCTCTTTCTGAGACTCTGTCTGGGGTCTGGAGCAGCAAGCTGGCTGAGCTGCACGCTGATCCTTTTGCATCACGATGCAAAACAAACAGTCAACACAATAAATAAGTTCACACCAGAGTTCAGCTTGTTAGCTTGAGGGTGGTCTACAAAGCTGCTACACAGCAACTGCCAAGCCCCAATGCGGTTCAGCGTTTAGGGTAAGACTTCACGGGCGCTGCATTCAACTCTTCTTCAGATGGCAGAGTGCCATTCTTGAAGGCCTTCAAAACTTCTTGCCAGCATCGGCCCTGATGTTCCTTCTTGGAAGATACATGGCGGCCTTTCTGGGCCCAAAACTTCAACATTCTCAAGGTCACCTCCGGACCATCGATCTTGGAACTTCGTGTTTTCGTGCACGCCGCAGTACCGGAATCATGTTTGGGGTGCTTACAGGTCAGCTGGAAGCCGGTCTTTGTGGGAGTTATGCGACAGAGACCATAAGATGTGGCCACATCACGTCTTCTCGTCAAACCCTCTGCCCTCCTCCCAGCACGTTTGCCACCCTGCTTGCTCTCGCTATCGGAACTTGAAGAGGAGGAAGAAGATGAGGAATCAGACCCCCCACTGCTTTGTGAACTGGAACCAGAAGAAGAACTGCTTGAAGAAGATGAAGAGGAACTTGCATCTGGCCTGGGTTCCGCCTCTCCAGCTGCAGCTTCCTCTGGAGCGTGGGCCTCTGCCTCGGACTCAGCCTCAACAACATCGTGCTCAACGCCTTCTTCGCCCATGTCAGCATCGTCAGCATCCTCCAACGCAGGAGCCGATTGAACCCCAAGACGGGCTCTTTTTCGTGGAGCTCGCACAGGTACAAGAGCTGACTCTGCCACCCAAACGTCTTCATCATCCATGAAAATCAAGGCATTCTCTTTCCTGCGACGAGTTTGGGTGGACCCTGGCTTGCCTAGCAGTTGTGCGTACACGTTGGCAGGCTGAAGGTGTGGAACAGGGCTGCCATGCTGTTCTGCTTTGAGCAGGCAGAGAAGGTAATCTTTGCAAAGATATGAGTTTGTCTTGAGGTAATACCAAATCTTCTCATCTTCAAGCTTATACGCTGCGCCTTTGTCCAAAAGTCTCTTGGACTCCAGCCCTTGGTGGTGCCAGCCTTGATCTCGAAGAGTCAACAACAGCTCTACCATTTCCATGTCCTGAAGCCCCACATCACGAGCCTCGAACACTTTCCCCAAACTTGTCAAGACGGTCTCAACTTCGACGCGCCTGTGGCCCTTCTTTGTCACTGCCCAGCCGCCATCCTTGTCACGCCTAGCCCAGTCCCGAGCTTCAAGCTTTTCCAACAGCTGAGACTTCTCGGTGTGCAAAGGGTCGTTGCCTGCAACGGTGTAGGAACCGGCTGCCAGCAAATCACTCAACAACGACTGACACGCAGAATCTTCAAAGGCAAGCTTGTCAGGATCGTCTGCTGGCACTCTTAGATGACATGCAAGATTGCTTGTGTTCTCCCATTTCCTCATGCCCAGCAATGACTCCAGAGGCAAAGCTTCCAGGCAGAGTACCACAGGAGTGGCAGACTCGTCGCAATCCAAGTCTTGTAAACTGACAGGGCTCGAGTTGACAACCACGCCAAAGCCAGCACCCAGCCGCTTCACTGCCGTAACCCTCAAGAAGGAAACCGCCCAGTCGGTGTTGGAGAAACCTGTGCGGGTAGGCACAACAACCTTCCCAACGGATTTGCGAATGATCTGCATAAACACATGACCTCGCAAGCTGAAGGAATCCCAATCCAAGACCGGCACAGGGTCATCGTCTGAATGCCGGCAGGCTGCCCAGCGCAAGCTTCGAAGTGCCTGGTTACTGAATGGCATGGAGTAGATTTTGTCAGACACTGAAGTTGAATCATCCAGAAGCCCAGACATGGACTGCAAAGCATACCGCTGCAAAACAGCATCATCTGTCATGGGCACCAGAGCGTTGTTCAATCCCAAGGCCACCACTGCTTCATCACGCGACTGCAACTCAACAGCATGAACATCCGACTGCTTTCCCCGGACCCTGCGGGGAGGCTGGCTATCTGAAGACTTTGACAGAGCACCGACCGGTGCTTCATTGTCATGAGCTTGCACTGGCACTGGCTGATCTGAAGGATCAGCTGCAGGCTCCAGGCGGCCGTCACCGTTACCTTCAGACTCATCAGGCGCAGGTTGGTGGTGAAGCCTGTCGCTGTCAGGAGGTGCAGGGGGAGCAAGATCTGACCATGGCTGCTCTCGCTGGTACATCGTAGCCGGGTCTGCATGGTAAACTATCTTCATGTGCATTGGGTCACGATACCCACAAATGCGCAAAGTGGATGGGTGATGCTGCAAACCAAGCGCTTTCAGAGCTCTTGCAGGACTGTGAACCTGATCATAGAAAGATGCCAACTCCTTGAAGATCTCCGGTTGCGCCGCTGTGTCACTTCGAAGCTTGTTCATGCGGCGAGCCAAGCTGACATAGGCTGGAGTGTGGTTGCGGGCAAGGGCAATCTTTTTGTGAATCTGCAGGGGCAAGGCGCAGGGTACAAGGAATGCACAACAGCAAGAATGGCTTTGTTGGCGAAAGAGCACTATGGCCTAGCACTGGCACTGTCATCTCCCCTCTCTCTCGCTCGCTCTCTCTCTCTCTCTCTCTCTCTCTCTCTCTCTCTCTCTCTCTCTCTCTCTCTCTCTCTCTCTCTCTCTCTCTCTCTCTCTCTCTCTCTGTCTCTTTCCTTCTCCCGCTCTCCTTCTTCAAGGTGCTTTCAAATCACGGATGATCCTAGCAGAGCTATGAATAGTGTGTTGTCTAGCCATTCTTTCTCTGCTTTCCCGAATTGACACTGAACCGAAAATGAAAAGAGTTCAGCGACAGCCAACAGCCCCCTCAGGACCTAGACAGCGCTTTGAAGACACACGCACACACACGAGGCACTTCGTGATCCCGGCCTGAGCATGATCCCCTTCCACAGCACGTTCTTCTATGGGGCAAAATCGCAGCATGCCCAAAAACTGCGCTAGATCAGGCACAGCTGCAAGTTCCTCCCCGTTCAAGTAGCGATCCACCTGCTCCCTGACAGGATTCTGCTGCAACGTGGCAAGAAGTGGAGTGGTAGCTGGCATGGCAATGCATCTCCGGAGGCACTCTCTTGACTTTCGCCTGTCCAAATGGGCACAGCCGAAGACAAGATACGGCGCCTCCTTCCAGTGAGCCAATCTCAGGTTGACCACAAAAAGCAAATGGGCACGTCCTCGCTGGAAATCCTGCAAGATTGCAGCACGAGATTCTTGAGATATGTCTCTCGGCAATGTCGCCAAGAGCTCTGATGCGCTGGTTCCACTCAAACTTCGCATGAGCGCCTGAAAATCACCGCACGCCAGCTCAGGCGCGCGACAACCTCTGAGGGGACAAGTGGCCCATAGTTGTTTCACTTTCTTGGGCATTTCGTCTTCCGGCCAATGACTGTGGCATTGACAAGACTCCACCCAATGCAAACATGAGTTCAGAACCTTCGCAATGGAGTCCATCATTCTCAGCACGCCCCAGAACTCTCGTGAGGTTAGCGCAGAATCTATCACAGTCAAATCTACGCCATGGCCACTTGCATCATCTGCATCACGGGCCGCGCCGTACTTGTTCAAATTCCAGCCAAACCGTAGGGTTGTTTCAATCTTCAAAACTTCTACAACACAGTGGGCAAGGCTTCCCCAACGGGATGGATTGAGTTTCGCCTTGAAGCCCTTGACGTCTGCTTGAAGGTACCTGCCGATGCGGTCAGAGAAGCAAGTCTCAAGCAAACGCTGGCGTGATTCCTTTTTGCACAACAGCTTTGAGATGTGCGTCAACTGCTTGACGGCCTCGTCAAAAAAAAGCATCGACTTCCCCAAGTCCATAGTTGAGTTGTGAATGATGTGCAATAGACCTGCTATGCCCACAGAGTTGCTGAAGTTGACTGTCGCGTGGGCGTCTTCCTCGTGCTCAACAGGTGGTGCCAAATCGCGGTCATCAGCGCCAGCGGCGGTGTCGAGATGTGCAACCCAGGGCAACACCCTTCTCACCAAGACTGGAGGCACGTTGTGTAACCCCATCTCGGTGCCCTGATCAGTTGTAAATGCGAAGATTGAACCGCAAAAGTCTTGCAATTCCAAAGCACTGCCTGTCTCCAAGAAAAAGCAATGAACTGCGGCATGAAACTTATGGAAAAGTTTGCTGTGTGCACTACCCAACACTACCGCCGGTGCCAGATGTGTGTCAATGCTGGCCCACATTTCAGCCTGAAGCTCAACTTCCCGATCATAGGTGTCTGCCAGAACCTCATCTTCCATCCTCTCCAAGTAGCCACCCCAAAGTTCGCTGCTCTCCAACGCAGCACCAAAAAGGTCTGCGCAAGCATTCTTTCTCAAGGACGTTATCCGGATCAGCTCAAAATCAAAATGACCCTGAACGGACGAGTCAATCATGACATACCTCACCACCCCTCCATCCTGAAGAGCCTCGCGGTTTAACCGACGTGTTCGCAGCATCAGGGCAGTATCCACGCTCAGCCTTGCTCGAGAAATCTTTCCAGCACTTGGCACACGCAGTCCAAAACCAAAGTTGGGGCCTTGCAAAGAGGAGTGCACTGCCTCAGGCAAACTCTTTGGCATGACAATGTCGATGGCCCTCAGAAGAACGTCTTTCAATTCACTGGAGTCTCGTAAATGACTTGTCAGAAGAATGCACTGCAACATGTATGCTGCCTGATAGGGAAGTCTATTCGTGCACACGCGGCCCTGACATCGAACCACTTTCCTGTTGAGGCTGCACAAATCCAACTCATCTTTCATACGCTGAAGCATGTAAGCTGCTCTATAGCAGCCCTCAAGCAGAGCAGCATCCTCATTGGATTGAGGGTTCAAGCGAGCAGACAACATGCGCACTGTTTGGGCAAACTCCTCCGCAAGGTCTGCAGACATCTCAGGCACCTGAAAGGTTTCAATTTGAGGCGCAATGCTGAACTTCTGCGCCAAGCTCTGAATGTACGACCATCCAAAGATCTTAGATTTTTGCCGGACCCCGACTGAAAACAAGTGCTCGGGCAAAGGGTCTGGCAAACAGAACGAGGACCATTTCTGGCGGGCAATGAGAAAAGCATGGGCACCTGGCAGTCGCACCACTAGGTGGCAGCTCTGATCGACCCAGTCAGCCAGAGGGGAACCGTTCATGTCCCTTTGCAGTTGTGCAACGAGGTCCTCTGGTGAGTTCAGATCAACCTGGCCAAAGAAGCACTTCAACCTGCGATGGTCAGTAACAGGAAGTTCGACCGGTTTCGCAAAGACCTGAATATCTGTGACATTGAAATAGTACAGATTGCCATGCAAACACTCAGTTCCGAAAACCGACTGCCAGAAGTTGTACTGCATTCGCTGGCACTCATTCAGAACAGCTAGGGCATTGTAAGCGAAACCGGCATCCAACTGCATCACCCCCAGCACCTGATCATGCTGCAGATCGTAAGCCCAAGGATCTGACTTAAACGCAGCTTGCTCTGAGTCATCCATGCAATGCAAAGAACAACCATTCCAATCAGTCTTGTACCTTCCACCACTGCTAATATTGCCCCAGTTTTGATACTTGCCATGGGTCGCCAGCCAGCAGCACAACACCATGAGGACCACACCACTGGACAGTCCACGCATCAAGCTTCACGACCTGACGGTTTGAGTCTTCGATTTAAGATGCAAAGTTTGGATAGGCTGCTGAATCATAGGGTTTGGGAAATCTCTGCAAGCTTCAGTGAAAGCTTCTACCCAAGTTACAGCTACGTCAGGCTCCTTTACTTTCAGTCGGGCCTTTTTTGGGGTTTCGGGATGATGTCCATATAAGGCTCTTCAAGTTGAGGCTTAGGCTTAGGCGGTTTAGGCAAAGGTTAGGATGTTGAGAACCAGGCGGGCGGGCTGAAGCCGGAACTCTGGGCACGCCATTGCTCAGAGCTCACAGAGATGGATCCTAATGTGTCATTTCACAGTTTGTGAGGTTTCGACCATTCATGCGGCTCTTCTGAAGCCCACAAGACTCAAACTAGAACGGGCCTCAGTCTGCTCGCTCTGTGATAGGGTTGGGTTTTTTAGGTTTTTTAAGCACTTGCAATCAATCTGTTTGTGGCCGAAGGCAATTGCCTGAGCAACTGCAAGCGCTGCAGCACTGCAAGACTGCAAGCTGACATCTCAAAAAACAGCTCGTGACGCCTCAATGACGCAGCCTCAAGTTTCAGGATTGCCTTAAGGCTTTTGGGCGTTTTGGGTATTTGGGTACGGTTATTACGGCCCCGGCTAGACTCGCTAGACCTGGCCGGTAGCACTGGTAGCCTCATGGAGTTTGGAATTGGAGCCGAGGCATGAGGAATTGAGTGATGATGCATCACGCATCATGCAGCGAAGTCGGAGTCTGAGTCTGAATTCTCAATGGAAGCGAAAGCATTCAATTCAGATTGAAAATGACGAAGCCGAAGCACTCTCTGTCTCTGACTCTCTGAGACTCTGAGCCTCTGAGCACTCTCTGGTCTCTGAACTCTGAACCACCATCAACTTGCCATCAACCAAGACATTCTTGCTCTTGCACTGCACACGCAGCCCCCAGCCCGGCGGCTCCCATGCAACAAAGAACTCACGACTGCGATTTGCAAACTTGCAAACAAAGGGCAACGACTCGCAACGACATACTACACTATACAAAATCGCAGGCTCGCAAGTCGCAAGCAACGGCAACTCACACGACACACACGTGCTGCTCGCAGAAACGCACTGTTTTTCTTTGTAAAACATGGCTTGCCACGATTGCAGCGGCTTGCCTTCCGCCAGTGTTCGCTGCTAGCCCAACGAAGAGAATACAAAAGCGGGGTACATTCATACACATTACACATGTGCATTATCTGTGCATTGAGCATTGCATCATGCTTTGCCTGGCAGCTGTATGCTGCCATCCATGAACTTCTGCCCACTTCACGATTCACGATTCACGACGAAGAACACAAAGAATAAAAGGACTCAATACGACTTCGCAAGATTTGCAAGTTGCAAGTATTGCAAGTGCTGTGGATAATAGCGCCAAATTTTTGGACGTGGTGACCAGTGACCACTGACCACTGACCACTATCGACCACTCGCATGGCACGCCTTACCTTCTTGCGGGCAAACAACTCGTAACCAAACTTTTACTGCCAGTTGGCAGTTTGCACTGTGCATCATTGAAAGTTTGACAGGGACCTGTAAAAGCCCAGCACCGACAGCCTGAGAGCCTTTCAGAAAAGTTAGCAGCTGGCGTGGGGTGCCATCTTCAACGACGTAAGACATTGAGGCTAGTCATGTACACATGATTCTGAGCGCTGCCTGGGGTCATACACCAGTAAGAACCATGGCGACACTGAGAAAGCTACCAAAAGTATGATCACGAATGGAAAGTCTCATAACCAATCTGAAGCAGGACGAAACTTGACTCCTTTGTGCACCAAGCTCCTCTTTTGCAGCAGGCAGCATGTTTCGGTCCATGACAACCGTAACAGTAACATTTCTCAGAACCCCCCCCCCCCCCGCAGCCACATTTAAAACCTAAAGCTTAGTAGGTGGAGCTTTGATCTTCGTCATGATGTGTGATGTGGTACTGGGTGGGGGATGAATTTTGAAGATCCCCTGGTTAATTCCGGGTAATGTAGAGCAGACATGAAACGAAATCGCGGTTCCGCAAGTACAGCTGACATGCTGCAACACCTTGACACATGCAACAGTTCTTCATTATCTGTTGACTTTCATTATGTAGGGTCTGGCGGGGTTCAGCTTGCTTGAGTCTCAAGGGTCGGGGGCGGCCTGTGTGCTTATTTGCAATGCTGTCCCGGAAGCATCAGTGCGCTGGCTCAGCTTACAAACAGCTGGGGCGGTGCGTCAAGCAGAGATGTGGAAGCCTGCCCTGCACGCATCCAATACGGAGCGTCAGGTACCCCGTAAGTACGGCTTCTTGTGAAGATAAACTTAAGACATTAGTCCGAATCTAGAAGCCCTAACCCCGAAACCCTAAAAAACATAAAGAAACCCTAACAAGTCCTAGTAGGCCTAACTTCATCCAGGACAGAGCTTCAAAAAAACCCACCAGAGTTATCTGACACATGGGGCAGGACATGGAAACCCAAATGCAATTGTATAGTAGATTTGAGAATAGTACCAATCAGCAAAAACACTGCAAAAACACTGCATACTTATAGAATCATCATAGTAGAGATGAGCTCTAGTTGTACTTCAAAGTTACAATACGTGAAGCAGACACCTTAAGAACGGGCTTTAGAGTCGCCGTCACCTTCTAGGTCGCAATGACGCAAGCATACTCTCCATTCTCCCTTAATCCGAAAGTTGACCCTCAACCCGAAGCTGCTTCCGTCTTGCCAGTGACTCTGCCAGTGCACCGGATAGTGTTTAGGAATATCAGCTTTTCTTTGCGACAACAGCGGGGGCCAGCGGGAGGGGTGTACAATCAACGGGAGGGCACCATTGTGCACAAGCCTGTTGAGAAGGGAACGACAGCTTGTTGGCGTCGCCTGGGGTGTTGTTCCGACAAATGGAAACACCCCATCGCTGGAATGACTCAGATGTGGAATGACCACAGTTCTGGATCTGCACCGTGGTGGAAACCAAGATTTAATATTGTTGTGAATGGAAATTTCTCAAAGATTCGGTTGGAAACTGGACAACACTGGAACCTGGTTGAATCCAGTCAGAAAGCGACCCTTGAAAGCGTGTTGGAACACCTTTCTTTTCAAGTTGTTTCCTGTCGTGCTCCAGTTGTGCCTCAAATTCTGTTGTTAAGTTTCTGTCGCTGTCTTTCAAATCTCAAACTGTGCCTTCACTTGACTTGGTCAAGGCCGAGTTCTGTTCCGCCTGCTCCACAGACGCGGGTTAAAATTTGTTTCTCCGGTAAGACTGGGTTAAGCCCTCTGGGTGAAATTGGGTGGAATCTGGGTTGTGTTTTTGAGTGTTTTTGCAACATGAAGTCGAGCAGTCGAGAAGAGGACTGTTGGAGTCAGAAAAAAGAGAGAGCAGCTTGGGGAAACAAGGGTTGCGAAAAGAAAGCAAGCCGTCACCATTCTGGCAACCGCGAGAGCGATCGAGGGCTCAAAGGGTGCTCTTGGGGCAGCGAAATTATCAAGAAGGCGAGCAGCAAGACGATGGAGTTGAGCCAGCAGTCGAGAAGAGGGTCAATGGAATCAAAAGAAAACAAGAGAAGCTTAAAGAGAGGCAAGAATTTGCCAAAACGAAAGGCAACTGGCACCGTTCCGACAGCAAGCAGGAGTTGGTGATGGAGGAGGGAAGCTGGAGGGCTCAGGGAAGAACATCTAACTGTCGACTGAAGGGGCTCAGAGGTGCTTATTGGAGCAAGTCGAAGTCGAAGACGATGGAGCCGAGCAGCAGCCGAGAAGAAGGGCCAATGAAATCAGAAAATGAACGAGAGACGCTTAGGGCGAAGCTCAAAGAGGCAAGAAATGCCTGGGGTGTTGTTCCGACAAATGGAAACACCCCATCGCTGGAATGACTCAGATGTGGAATGACCACAGTTCTGGATCTGCACCGTGGTGGAAACCAAGATTTAATATTGTTGTGAATGGAAATTTCTCAAAGATTCGGTTGGAAACTGGACAACACTGGAACCTGGTTGAATCCAGTCAAGAAAGCGACCCTTGAAAGCTTGTTGGACTTGCAGAGGGAACTGATACGTGTCACTCGGCTCAAAGTCTTTTTGAAAGTTCGGGGGCTTCGCATCCAGACTTCCAGCATCTTCCACGTGCCATGGACGGCGAGTTCCTGACGGCGGATGAGGCGTCAAACAAGTTGTGGCCTTCTAGCCGCCAGGCGTTGTGGTTCTTACTTTGGTGGAATTTGCTTGTCTTGCCGTTGCATTGCCCAGCAGGGCATGAGTGGAAGTCCTTCAACAGCAACTCCGAGAAGGGCAACTCATACTTGCACTGCACAGTGCGCGTTCCGAATCCAGACTACGACAGTGAGGATGAGGACGAGGAGGTTCCAGCGAAGAAGCTGTGCAACAAGAAGCTCACCTGGCGTCGTCCAGGAACGCTTCCAAAGTACCTAGCGAACAACTACACACCTGCGCAATATCTTGCTTCTTTGTACTGGTTCGCGTCAGACGCACCCTACAGAACTGCTCGAAAGCAGGCAAAGGTCAGTTCGAAGAACTGGGCTGGGTTTTTAGCACGTGTTAGAAGCATTTTGTGGCTGTGTGTCGCTCGTTTGAATCCTGCTCAGCTCGGCGGCGAAGGCAAAATCGTGTGCATTGACGAGACGTTTCTCACGAAGAAGAAGCGTTGCAAAGGTGGTTTCCGAGGCCGCCCAACGGCTGGAACCAAAAAGTGTGTGCTTGGCATGCTCGAGTTGGACTTTGAAACTCGACGAGCCACAGGGCATTGCCTTCTTTTGGAGATTCCGGACAGGAGTGCTCGCACCTTGAAGCTTTTCATTCGAAGACATGTTGTTGCTGGCAGTTTGATTTTTACAGACAGCTTCAAGAGTTCTGCTTGGTTGTCGAAGCCAGACTCTGGCTTTGTGCATCGCTGCGTGAATCACAAACGCCGTGAGTTTTCCAAAACAGAAACAATTTTTGGAAAGGAAGT